TAACAATAATGGTAATTATTAACATTCAATCATTGATTATTTTCATTTTTATTAATTTTAAAATTTATATTTATTAATATCCATTCTTATGGCTTTTATAGATTCTAAACATATTGAATTAATTACTTTTGTAGATTCTACACAAATTGAATTAACCATACTAGACAAATTACCTGAATAAGTTAAATCTTGTCTTTTTTATTATGTATTAAATTTTGTTTTATTTTATTTATAGTTGTGAAATTAAATATCTTGAGAAATGAAATTATAGATAATTAGTTTATTATATTTAATAGTGAATGGGTATCAAATATGTACATTAAAATAATGATTTTGACAAAAAAATTTTTAATAATTATTATCATCATAAACATACACATTATATTTTCAAATCAATATTTTCATTTTTTTATAGCATTAACATGTCATATTATCCTGAAAAAATTATTCATCATGATCTTCATAGTAGTAATATTCTTCAATGTAGATTTTCATATATTGCAGACTTAGGGTTATCATACCCAGCTAGTCAAACATTGTATCAAACAAAAATGATATATTTGGAGTACTGCGCCAGAAGTTTTAAAGAAGGAGCCATATACAACAGCATCAGATATATATAATTTTGGAGTTCTGATTAAAGATGTTAGCCGAAATTATTTCACTTAGTAAATGAATCCAAAATGCCGAAATATTTTTTCATAGTTGCCGAAATTAACTTTATTAATTGTTGAAATTATACTCAAAATTATTTGAACACTTTAACTCAATAGCCAAAATTCTGGGTAGTTTTTTTATGTCCATCATTATGAAAATATTGTAAATCCGAAATTGCCTGCCGAAATTGATTTTTTCAAAAACCATTTCGGCTAACATCTTTAGTTCTGATATCTGTAATGTTAACTGGCCAACAACCACATAATAACTTGGCACATGATGAATATCTTGCAATAAAAATATGTGAAGGTGTAAAGCTAGGATTTTCAAACAACACACCAAATTTCTATATTGAAACAACTTACAGATGCAGTATGCTAATCCAGATAAACATCCAACCACTAAAGTAATTGTTCATATTATTAAAATTTGGAATGATTTATTAAATAATCAGGTAATAGTAATAAGTAATTTTGAATTTTGTCTATATTTAAAAGAACAGCAACATAAATTAAAATCAATTAGAAAAGTGATGAAATGGATGAAATAAAATTTGATCCTTCAACAATTACTAGAGCAACTCATCCAAATGCTTTTTACACTAATGGATTATAATCTTACAAGCCTTCCCAATCCATGAATTTAATTATTAACATTGAATCATGATTATTTTTCATTTTAAAATCTATAGTTACCATAAAGTCTGGAAAGATAGCACCACTTTTTACAAATGTGTAACAGTTGTTTCAATTATTTTAAAGTATCCTTTGGGAGTGCTATCTTTCCAAACTTTACGGTATTAATATTAATATCCCCTCTTGTGGTAAATATTTTTTTAGTTTCTCAACAGATTGAATTTAAGTATACCAGATGGATTACCCGATTAAATTAATTAAAATATAAAGTCTTGTTGTTTATTTATTATTTTACAGTTGATTACATATACAGTATTAATATAAATTCAACAAGCACACTATAAAAAAATTATACAGTGGGCTCAAAGACTTCTGCTGATCCAAATTTCAAAAACGTAATTCGTTCAAAAATTAGACATTCTATCTATTTAATCATATAAGTTGATATGGACAAAAGAAAAAAAAAAGATTTTTTTAAATAATTTTTATCATGCATTTGTTTAATTTATCTCAGCTGTAAAAAATTCTATTCTTGATGAAGCTACAAAATAGCAAATATATAGTTAATTATCAATGTAAATTAGTTAAAGAGCCAAAACATTTGAATTTGTTAACTGATTATTAAAATCTACAGAATGTTATGAAAATAATTTGACCTGTAAATTTGTTTTCTAAGAAAGTAACCAAAACTAAACAGATTGAGTTAACTATACTAGATGAATTACTTGAATAAGTCAAATCTTGTTATTATTTATTATTTGTTATTTATTTTTAAATATCTTTATACAAAGGTAACTTTTCACAATTATCTTTGGAATTTTTTTTATTTGAAATTTGGATGTTGAATATGCACACTAAAATAATGACTTTTGACAAAAAATAAATGTAATTTTATTTATTTCTTACCTTTTCAAATCAATGTTTTCATTTTTTTATATAGTGTGTGCCATCTAAAGACATCAAATGTTGCATGTATGTAAATTGAATTTATTTTTTAATTGACTTTTATGATAAAGTTTTATTTATAAATTCTATCACACTTTATATTTGTAGCAATATGCTGGTGAAATTGTAAATGACTATGAAATCAACTATCACCTGAACATACAGTGTCATGAAAAAATGGTAATATTGCTTTTAATAAAAAAGTATCCAAAACATCTCATAAAAATTATACCAGAGAATCAAAAGATCATGGATTATTATGTGTAAAAATTTTGAAGGATATTATTATATAGGCTTTAGTGCAATGATCACATTAAAATTTCTTTTCAAAAATAATCAAATTTCTTTTATTTTTAATTGATAAGGTTCTAGAAAATATGGGATCATGTAATTGACATGATTTTTTTGTATGATTATTATGTATGCTTTTGTGTTAAAACCATTATTAAAAAATCCCATGTTAAATTTTAGAGACAAAATTTAAGTTTAAAAAAAAAGATGTGGATCAGCTTTACAAAAAAACTGACAATAATATTTTATGTTTATTTTTTTTATTTAATGGAGTAATTGATGGGCTTTTAAATGAATCTAAAATTATCCTTATACATTTGTTGAGCAATTCAATTTTTTACCTGTGCAATTTTTTTGTGACACATTGTATCAAAGAGTTGAAGTTTATCAAGATTTTTTTAATGTGGTTGTGTTATGAATTAGTATATACTTTTAAATAAAGAAATTGTTGAAGTGCAAAGGAAATAAACCATTTGTTATGTTTTATATAAAGTTTGTTAAAGTTTCGAATAAAAAGTATGCAACATTTGGTTTATGATTCTTTAATGTGTATGCTGCATGTGGTGTGGTATGAATTAAAAAATAAAAATAATGTAACAATTTGATTTTATTTATATTTGGTAATTTGTGGTTATTATGAAAGTATTGAATTGAATGGCATTAATATCATTGGACAAGTGCTTTTTGGTAGAGATAGTTGTATATCCATAACTTATTTCATTATGCAACTTATCAATTATCTTATTCTGATTGCAATGATATTGTCAACTGTGGGTTGCAAGGCATTTGTGGTTTTTTCTACTTGTTCAGGAGTAGCTGGTTTGTAAGATCCTTTAGATCCTATAACTCCATAGTTTTCTTTGTACTTAGGAACAATTTGCATATAGAGGTGAGGTGAATTTTGTCCTCCTAATCTTACTCCAAAACTAAACTGGTAGGCAAATCATTGGTTTATATACTATTGTTTGACAAGCAGTCAGATGATCTGAAAATTTTACCGGCAATATCCCCATTGATCTGCGTGAAATATGACGTCATTTTCATGATGATTTTACTCCAATATCAAAAGGTAATATATAAATAATAACAAAAAAACCCAAATTTTCTTTAAAAAACCCCATTCAATGGCAGATCTTATTCCTTTTCTTTTCTGGGAAAAGGTTTGTTTTTTGAAAATAAAATAATTTATTGTTAAATTTTCTGAAATGTTGTGCCTTTACAAATATATTGTAATTTTTTTAAAAAAAAGCAAGAAGGATATTTATGCGCACAACATTGCTTAAACTCACTTCTCCAAGGTAAATGTTTTTTTAATGAATTATAGTTTTTAGTTATATTGTTATATATAATATATCTTTTTTTTCAAAAAAATATAGGCGAGTATTTTACAGCAGTAGATTTAGGTGAAATAGGTCGTAGATTGGATCAAGCAGAACATGATGCAATGACTTCTCCGGATCAACAACAAAATTCACAACAGCAACCAAACACAAGTCAAAACATGGATGACACAGGTATTTATTTATTTATTTATAAATTTTTATTATATTATTTTTTAATGATGATTGAGACAAGTGTAATTTGAAATATGATTTCATGAATTGATTATTTTATAGGATTCTTTTCAGTACAAGAAAGTGTTTAGATTTTTTAATTTTCTTTTTAGATTTACTTGACTTTTAATTTAATGTTATTGTTTGCTAAACAAAATTAAATAAATATCTTTTAGGTTTTAAATATGGCATTAGAAGTTTGGAATATAGGTATTAGAATTTCTCTTTCTAATAAATGGTTTAAAATACATATACATATGTATATATATATATATATATATATTAATTGTTATATATTTTATTAAAATAACAAGAAATGGTCCCAATTGGCTCTGAAGCAGGACGTGGATCAAGAAGTCAACCAGAGTACTTATACCAAATAATTTGCACCTTTCCCTTAAATCGAATATTTTTAAGTTGATTATTTTATTTTCAAATAGAGATGAAATAGCATATATATGCAACCTTAATCAGCATTGGTAATATAAAAATATAAAATGATTTATTTATTTATTTTTTATAATTTGGTTTCAACAAATGTTTAAACTTCAAATAATATTAATAACGAACTTATTGTTGTTATTTAAAGGTTTACTTTAAGAAAATTTGGAGGGCTTCGAGCACGTTGGTACAATTTAGATTCGCTTCTTAAAGGACCCGAATGGATCAGTCCAACTTATTTAGGAATGTTATTGAATCAACTTGAAAATAATGGTAAAAACTAAATGAATGAATGAGTGAATAAATGAACTAATGAACGAATTATTATTTTTTTTTTCGTATAATCTGTCAATTATTATTATTATATATTCAAGAAATATTTACAAAAAAGTCTTCTTTTTTCAAAAAAAAAAAAAAAAAAAGGATATAGCATCTTTGTGATAAAGGGTGACTTACCTATTAGTCAAGCTGATGAAAATGCATCAAAATTGCCTGACCCAGATACTGTTAATCGTATTGAAAGAGACAAAAGTAATTTGCAAGAAATAGATCAAGAAATGATGAATGCGGCTATTGCAGCTAGTTTGGGGTTGACAATAGACAAAAATAAGAATCAAGATTCAAAAGATGATGATGATGATGACAAAAAAATTAATGTTAATGAAGATGATAATAATAATATATTAATTAATCAACCAACCATTGACGAATTAAGAGCCAAGAGACTTGCAAGATTCGGCGGGAATAGTGGTGGCAACATTGAAGGGGGTGGTGGTGGAAGTAGTGAAGGGGGTGGCGGAGGTGATAATAGTAATAGTAATGATAACGGAGAAGAAAAGGAGTTGAAATAATAAATTGGTTTATTTATATTTATTTATGTGTAGAGTAGTAAGTCAAAAAAAAATTATTATATGTATTTTTTACTATTTTATTTTGTTAAAATGCGTCCAATAACATAAATAATACGCGAAATTTGAGAAAATTGCTAGAATTTACTGTCGCACAGCCATTCGTTATATATATAGTTGACAAATTTAGAAAATTTATTTTATGAATTTCAATTATCTCTTTTTTTCCTCCCCTAAACATTTTTTTATTAAAAATTTTCTGAATTTCAATTAACATAGCAAACAAAAAATATTTATTGGTATTAAATAGTTATATAAACCATTATTAAGAAGTCTTTGAGAAAACCAAAATAAAACTAAAAACAAAATGGCTTCTAACCGTAATCCTTACGGAAATTTAGATGACGCTTTTGAAACTTATATTGACATGGATTTCTTGAGAAATGATAAATTAATGGAGGATGAAACCAACAACAACAATAGCATGTCTAATTCTGATCTTTTTCAATATTTTTTTGAAGGTGAAGAGGGAGCAAATGAAGCTCCTTCCTATCAAACTCCGCCTCATATTCCAGAGGGTTACGGTTTAATTTCTAATGCTATTATGGGTGGTGGTGACCTAGTAAAGCTAGCTAATCCTGTACAAACCATTGATAGCATAAATTTGCTAACTCAACAATCTCAACCTCAACATTCTCAACCAATAACTTCTACTACAGTTGAAACTTCTGTTTCAATTTTGAATGCACAGTTGGCAGAATTATTGTCAAAATTTCAAATTAAACAAAATGTGCCAGATAACAAATTATCTAATACAACAACTCCTTCTGACAATGACATTAGTGCTACTAAATCCATTTCGCAGCACACCACACCAACTACACCAAAATCATCGAAAGGCACTAGTAGTGATAATCAAATACAAATTGATGACGATAGTCAATTAGATATTAAAAAATTATCATCAAAAGAACGTCGACAAATACGTAATAAGATTTCTGCTAGGAACTTTCGTGTCAGAAGAAAAGGTATTATTATTGTTATTGTTATTATTTAAAAAAATTTAAATTATGAAATTATTAATCTTGTATATATTTATGTATGTGTTGTATCTACAGAGTACATTCAAAATCTTGAGTCAATAAAAAATCAACAAGAAGAAGAAATCAATATTCTTAAACAAGCTTTATTACATTTACAAGAAGAGAATACACAATTGAAACAAGAAGTAGAAGAATTACGTAAATTGAATCAACCCAACAAATCACACATGACATCTCCACCTTCACCCCCACATAATCCTACTACATTAGCATCACCATTTAATACCAATAACAGTAATGGTAGTTTACAAATGATTAAAGGGTCATCATCAACATTATTTACAAATACTCATCAACCAGCCTCTCCAACTTCACAAACGACAAGTCCAAACATTTGGCAAGATTCTCGTGTTAGAGTACAAACAACATTTATTCCTGAATTTAATTTCGATAAATATTTGTTTGAAGAAAAACTGGATTTTTCATATTCAAATCTCTATGGTGGCTACCCAAATATTTTATCAATTTTAAGAGACATTAACGAGTTTGACACTTGTAATAATAATAATAATAACGATATTAACAAAAACCAAAAGTTTTGGTTCGCTTATGTGCTGGTTTCTACGTTCCTACAACAAATTACCTCTTTGTTTTTAGAAGCAGTTGTTACCACACCTAAACAACAAATGATTCCCGCTCTATTTCGACATCCTGTTGTTTTACCTGAACTTTTTCCTTTATTAAAAGAGGATGATAATAAGTTATTGGATGTTAATGTTTCCGATAATTATGATGATAATATTCAAGTTCAACAAATTATTGATGATGAACAACAACAAGTAGTGGCAATAGTAGAAGAAGAAAACGAGGAGGAAGAAGAGGAACAAGAAGAAGAAGAAATACAGCTATTAAACAATAACATAGTGGTAGAATCAATTAAGGAAGCCTCAGTCCTTGATTGGTTATATGATTCAATGTTGCAACAAGTAGTTGAACAAAGTCAGATTGAAGCTAGGATTATGGAACTTAGTAGTGATTGGGTTGGTGATGATTTGGATGACAATGTATTGCCACTTTTGTTTTAGATATTCTATGACTAATATTATTTTATTTATAATTATTATTTTAATATGCAAAGATTTATCTTTATTTATTTCATAGATTATAAGATTTTTTTTTGAAAAATTGTAAATATGTATATTGCTTTATGATTTATATTAAATTTCCTTTATATATTTATATATTTATATATTATACTCTGCTTATAAAACATTTTTATTTATTCAGCTATATATATAGTATTTTTTTTTTTTTTCTGTTATTATTTATTATTATTTTTTTTACGCAATATTAAAAAAAAATAAATAAAGTAAATTTATTAAATTAACGAGTAGAACATATAATAAATGTCCAATTATTTTGTTAAATCTCCGTGAATATTTTTTTGATACTGAGCATCCAGTGTAAATTGATTGATGTTTATAGTTTGAAGATCGGTCGGCAATTGCTGAATGAAGATCCCGAGGCTTTATAGTATAGTAATAGCCATCCATACTTTAGTTACACCATATGCTTTGACACGATAATTAAAACCCTAATAATAAATATTGAATATCAAACCATTAATGATCAATTTTTTATTCAACTGTCCTAGAATCCAACTCAGAATCACAAAAAATATAATCGATTCTCGTGCCAACCTTCTTTTTCGTCATTTCCCTTGAACGTTATATGAACGGTTGATTTTAAAAACGTCACGCAACTCATAAGTTCAGTTTCCTTTTTGATAATTGACCTCTGGTGTGGAGGACACCGTTTTTAAAATACGTAAACAATAATTCACCATCTTATCAAAGATAATTAAAATCGTTTTACACAAAAAGAAGACATACTAAAGATCATGGGAAAATTCCTATTTCAATGCACCTAAAGGTTTAAAACATTTAGTCGTGGCATCCAAAAACATAATCACTGGAAGAGTGAACTCTCCTTTGCAGTGACTCTTGCCAGCCTCACCAACAAAATTTGTACCAATAACCAATCAAAACTACAAAAAGTAATCTTCATATAATCCATACTTTCCAAGAAAGCTTCTTCGCCAAAACCTGGAGTTAATTTCTTAGAACAATATGAAATAAGTAGGTAGGGGTAAGAAAAGAATTTAGAATGACTCTACAACATGAAGAAATAGATCTCAGGAAAGAGGCCTTCACATCATAAATCAATCAAACATCCGCTCCATGACAGCATTGGTTGCAATTATACCATCGTTACAAAATATTATCATCGTCCTAATAGCATTCACATAAATCCCAATATCAATAGTTAACATAATGTCAGTAAACAATTGTTCATAACAGACCGGGCGAAGGATTATAATCTTCTCCTATTTTATGTGACCATATCTCTTAATCGTGTGAAAAATCAATAATTAATCAAGTATATAAATTCACGCGCGTGAAATTCAAACTAGCCAACCTAAAATTTTGATTATAGTGAGATCTTCTTTTACTTATAGAAACAAAACAAACCAAACAAATAATAATAAGTATATAAAAACCAAATTCCTGTCACTAACGATGATCTTGCACCTCTTCAACGTATGCTTGGACAACTCGTGTTGGTGATATGATAATATATGATTAAATAGATGTGCACGTGATAGATAGGACTTTTTTCATTCAAAATAAAATAAAAAAAATAGTTCATTCTCCAAACAAAGAATTCGTTATTCACGCAGAACTTCGTGGAGTACAAAACGTCGAATTAAATATTGAATTTCGTGAACGAACGTGATTTCGGTAAATTTAAAGCGAGTGAACCAAAAAAATCCCGCGTGTCAACGGAATCAATAATAAACCTTTTTCTAAAAAAATAAAAATTGCATCAGAGCCTTCGAATAAAGTGATACAAACATGAAACTACACTAAATAGGTCAAGCTTTTAGATTACAGAGAGTTTTTTTCTTTGCGAAATAAAAAAAAATTTATATATATAGCAAAAAATCACTAATAGATAAACTGTAACCAAATAGGCTAGAGAAAAAGGCTCTCTGTAACTTTATTATGAAATAAAAAAGGTATAATGATTTAAAGTTACTCGCTCGGTTTATTATCATAAAAATTCTCATCATAACTGATAAATAATAGAAATTTCCCATGTTCAAAAAAATAAATTCTTGGTCGAATTTTGTTGTCAACATTTAAATATATGATAAAGATACTAAAAAATATGATGTAACATATGTTTGATGATCAAACACCAGTCCAAGGTGATGGATGAAATGAATGTTAAATTCGAAAATGGTTTATTGGAAGTTAGGTAAATAAAGAAATAATAATAATTTATTCTATTCTAAAAAAGAAGATACAGGCAAACTCGTTATAACGAGGTTTGACTAATTACTAAAATGTTTCTTTTCCTTTTTTTTAAATAAGAGCACAACCTGTCGGGAGAGGGAGTTGAAAATATACTATTATTACTGAATAAATAAAAAAAATTCATATTTCTCGTGGAATGTTTTTTGCTTATAATAATTATTTGAAAAGCTTTTATTGTTAGTTTATAGTTTTTTATTTTTATTTTAATAATAAAATAAAATGTTAGATATAAAACAACTTACAATTGTATTCAATTAATCGTTAAAAATTAGCATGAAATTATATGTTATTTATTTGAGAGGTCAAAAAGATCAAATGTATTTATTCATAATTAAAAAGTATTTTTAATATCAAATCTTTTATCATTATTAGATGTCGGAACCGACTAAAATAATTGACTTTTTTGAACAACTAATAGTCGACTAATAATAATTATTGTCTGACCAATTATAAATAAAAACGTTTTTGTGTACAAAAAATTTGTCATTCAAAATTTAAAATGGGAAAGAAAATAATAATAATTTCTATGTGGAAGAGTATCAGCATTATGATGACGACGACAGTGATGGTGATTGTTTTTGTGATGGCGATAATCTTACAAGGTCCAACAATCCGTTCCAATGATTTAAGCAATGGTTCCAGAAGACTTAACGAATTGTAACACATAGTTGTAAGTAAAAGATTCAAAATGATTATTTTATATTTTGATTATAACAGTCACAGGACACTTCCCGCCGATCTATAGGAGGTTGTAAAACATATGGTTGGCTCGGTCTAAAGACCTCCTATTGCTGCGCCATGCGGCCAAATTTCAAAATAGCAATTTTGTAATTCGTTCAAAAATGTAATAAAAATAGGACTTCACGTGATTTTAGTTTTCTTACTGCCAAATTTAGATACGATAGTTAAGAGCTAGTCTAAATTTGGTAATATTTTCCCTAATTTAGAAATGATCGGTATACAAATTCCTCGCGAGCTCACGTCACCTATAATCATCAAATTGCTGCGCCACGTGCTGAAATTTCAAAAAATTGTTTCCCAATTTTTTCAGGTTTGTTAAAAATGCGGTTTTTTGTAAAAATCACAAGATCAGTTAAAAAAATTTTTTTTTTAAAAAAACCAATTAAACTAATTCCCAAACTTAAAAACTGTAAAATGCCTTACTCATCCAAATGCAAAAGTCAATTAAAGGATGCAAGAACACAAATTGGAAAAAAGAGTATGTTCTAGAATTAAATTACATAAATATCTT